TATGTGAGTGATCTCGTCTTTCGAGCTGCTTGCGACGTTGACAGAGCTGTAACCATGTCCCGCCCTCAAGTATGTGTGTGATCTCGTCTTTCGAGTTGTTTATGACGCTGACAGAGCTACGGCCATCTCCCGCTCTCAGTATGTCAGTGATCTCGTCTTTCAAGCTGTTTAGACAGTGCTGACATAGCCACCGCTATGTCCCGCTCTCAGCTTGTGCGTGATCTCGTCTTTCGAGCTGCTTAGACAACAATGATAGAGCCACGGTCATGTCCCACTCTCAATGTGTGTGAGCTCGTCTTTTGAGCTGCTTATGATGGTAACTCAGCCACGTCCATGTCCCGCTCTCAGAGGGTATGTGATCTCGTCTTTCGAGCTGCTTATACAGCGCTGAAAGAGCCACAGCCATGACCCACCCTCAGGAAGTGCGTGATTTTATCTTTCGAGCTGCTTAGACGATACTGACAGAGCCACGGCCATCTCCCCCTGTCAGGCCGTGCGTAATTTTATGTTTTGAGTGATTTCCATGATGCTAACAGAGCTACGGCTATGTCCTGCTCTCAGAGAGTACGTACTCTCGTCTTTCACACTGCTCATAGTACGCTGAAAGAGCCACGACCATGTCTCCCTCTCGGGCTGTGTGTGATCTTGTCTTTCGATGTTATTTACATGATGCTGACAGATCCACGGCCATGTCCTGCTCTCAGAGAGTGCGCAATCTTGTCTTTCGAGCCACCTACGATACTGAGCCAGCCAAGGAAACGCAACAAACAGGCTACGTCCCGCCTTCACTGTGGGCGTGATCTTGCCATTCTGGCTATCATATGTTATATCATATTAGTACTGATAGTTTGAATAGGGGCGAAGGAGATGGAAGGTTTCGGTTGATCAGTGAGTTTGTCGACAGTGTGAGTACGACTTTTTGTCGGTCTTTTCTCATCTTAGCTGCCGCTGCGTGGAAGAAGACTATTGGGTATTCAGCTTTTCCATGTCATGTTTGTCTCGTTGTATATATATTATACATTCGTTATCAGATTGAGTATACTTGTTCTCGACAATAAATTGTGTCCCCTATGAGTAGTAGTTATCCAATGCACATGTTGCTGTCCTTGCGATATTCACTCCATTTGCATAATTCTTCGCGTGTTCTCTCCCAAGTCCTATGTAGAGAAAATTTATGCGCACTCGTCGGAGCCTCGGCATCCTAAGATACGCCAGACCATAATACAACTAGCATGAACTACTCGCATGACTACACTTCAACTCTTGAGCGATCTCCATCCTTCGCCCGCTGGCCATTTCAGATTATCCGCTTCTTTCAAAAAATCACGGCGCACTCCCAAATTCTGTATGCGCTCCTGGTCTTCCTCGGAATCGTCAGTCGAGGGAGACTCCGAATACGGATCAACATGAGCCCCATCATCCTCTCCCTGATCACCTCGTCCCCCTTCCGCATCTGTATCCGCCATTAAGGCCCGTTCACCCTCTTCCACCCACCTCGAATGGAGAACAAACCCGCGCCTTGGACTGAGACCCGCTTCCGCTTTATACCGCGCCGCATCTAGTCTCGGCTGGGCTTTAAGTTGCAGACTTGAGATTGTTTTTTGGATGTGGGATATGGACATAGGCGAGGCGTCTGTGACGCTGCGGCTGCGATCCCAGTCCCTGCCTCGGTCTCGGTCTCGGTCTCGGTCGCGTGTGAGGGATACATGACGCGAGAGGCTTTGACCTTGGAAGGAGGTGGAAGATGTTCGCGCGTGCGAGGATAAGGAGGGCATCTCATTTGTATTTGTATTGGATATTGGAATGAGCTGGACGCTCTCGGGGCGCTTGCGCCTAGGAGGGGGAAGAGGCGGTGTAGAGGTAGATGTGTGGTGCATCGATTTGGATCGCGTGACTCGTGGGATGGTAGACGTCGTGGATTCTGCTGTGTCACTTGTGGGTCGGCGGTCCGGGTGAGTCGGTGGTGCAGGCAGAGGGGACGAGCCGTCTGGTGTTGTGGGCTCTCTGTTTGGAAGTGGTGGGCGGAATGCAGTGGGCACAAGGGAAGATTGGCGGTTCACGGTGGCGCTCGCTACTTGGTCAATTGACGGTAGCGAACTTATAGATGATTGAGAGCTGGTTCTTCGTCGGTGAGGAAGCGGAGGTGCAGGATACGTGTCTTCAGATGAAGATGAATGACTCCCGAATCCTTTATGGACTTGCTTTGTAGGACTTAAGCTGCGCGTCCTGCTGCTCGCAGATGAACCGGATGACGTCGTTTTGAGCACCTGCAGAACACGCTCACGATCCAGCTGCTCTTCAACGCGCTTCATGTTCTGGCCGTGCTTGCTGGCCTCTAGGGACTGTTTCATCAGGGGAGTCATGACATGACTCAGTTTAATATCATGATGAGGAGCATGAAATGGTGACGGAACGGGTGCGCTTAGAAGCAAGGGAGGCTGCGCTGATGATATGCGACGTTTTGGGGCCACGAAGGGAGCTGGTTTTCGAGGGGGAAGCGGTGGAAGTTTGCCGTCCTTGGGTTTCTCTGGCGACTTATTGCCCGTGTTTGTCCCGCTGGCTTTGTCGCGCATCAAGAACGGATTATGACTGATCTTATGTGGCAGGCGTGAAGGAATGACCGGAGGGGCGTCGAATTGGTGTAGAACAGACGGTAGTGACTGCAGCCTATCGGACTCGAGCGATTTGCGGGAGAATGGATTTGTGTCTGGCGGAGAAGAGCTTGAAGATGCAGTGTGTTGTTTAGACCGGTCAGGATGAGAAGGCGGTGAGCAGACTTGGCGCTTGGAGGGAGAAGGGGGTCTGGATTGATCAAGTACTTTCTCCGAACTTGGGTAGGCTACAAGGCATTGTGGTGAGTGAAACCGAGAGAATAAGATGGAGATGAAAAGTAACAGCACAAACCTTGTACAAAAGCCAGAGTTCTATCAACGCCCTTGCCTGACGCGGCATGAAGGACTAGTCTGAGTGTAGCAAAGAATTGGCCGCCAGTGAGATAATCTGTGTGGAGCATGTTCGGGTAGAACAGTTTCAAGATCTGCGGGAAACGCGTATGGTTAAGATATCAAAAAAGAGAAAATATAGCCAAACCCTGTCAATATCAGCAGGTTGTAAAATTGGATATCTGCCTTGTATCCATGCCCTGACTTCGCGGATGCCAACAGACATGGCTTCATAGTGGACATCGTCGTGGATGGTGGCGGGGTCAGGTGAAACCGCAAGGTCATTGAGAGAAGATATATACAAGTTATACTCAAGATCGTTGAGAGCAGATACATGAAGTGTTAGAGGACGCATTGCAGAACGGACAACAACTTTGCATGCGTTTTGGCAAAAGGGCGTTGGTCAAGCGCGTTCGCGCTTACCTTCACGTGTGACACGTGCGGTGTAATTAGGTCATGGAGTTCGTCGCAGTCACCTCCAACTCTCACCATCATGTCAGGAGATCCAACTGCGGGAGACCTTCCCCCTCCATACAGCTTCAGCCCATCGTCTGCCACTACATCTTCTCCTGCACCACCCATATGGGAACCGTATTTTATTGATCTCTCCCCTGAATTACATCAACAGTCATCCGTCATTCACCGCAAGCCCTTAGATCCTCCACCCGACTGCTTTTCCACTCCGTCGCCTCTGCGAGTAAAATCCAATGATTTCCCTCCATTCAGGATCCCATGTGCTGGGAATGCACTCGCAGATGGTTTCCGCATTCTTTATCCGTCTGGTCTACTTGAGAAACATGGGATTCAACAGGCAGACTGGACTCGATTTCTGGAGGATCTTGGGATCGCTGCTCGTCTCGCAGGTCAGGGCCTCAGCGCAGTGGGCTCTCGAGTTCCCATCGTGCCGCTCACCCGTGGGGTATTTGGCACGAGAACTACCGGGATGGCCTATGACTCTCACTTCATCAGAAACCCTAGGGAAGAGGTTCAAGCACTCCTCGCCGTTTGGAACCAATCTGCTTTTGAGCGACGAAAGTTGCGCGTCAGTCTGCAGTTCAAAGGAGGGGCGGACATCAAGGGCGGGTATGAGCTCCTTGTTGAGTCTATATGAAATATGCGTGATTGTCATTTTTTACGTGCTACCGGAACCTTTCGTATCAGGAATACACAGCATATATGTAACCATACGAAACGAACCCAAGGTCTATCACTTTATGAACAGTTGTCGATTCATGTGTGCTTATACTCAGTCTCCCCTAGGCAGACCGTAGGCGAATGAAGATAGTGTTTCCGTCTTTTACCACAGCATACACCTAGAACGTGCGATGTAATTAGGAAAGTCAGGACACATTACGGTCTGTCGTCCAACTCTCGCCATCATACAACATGCCAGGAAACACGACTGCGGAGGACGTTCCCCTACGATAAAGCTTCGATCATCCGTTGTTCCTTGACCTTTTCCACCAAGTCAAATCCCTCCAGGCAGAGTCCCCTACACTGGGAATCCGCGCGTGGATGGTTATTCTTTCCAATGTGTCTACTCGACGATACTACTTACGTTACTCGCACGCGACCTTGGCAGGGTTTGGTTATAAGGTTGGCAAGTCGCCATCACCCTGCAGACGGCCCCCAAGCATCTCTATATTTCTCACCAGACAAGCAGTACGTGCGTCTCTTTTTTATGCGCGTCAAGGTTCAAGCCCTTCTACTAGTCATGGTGTTCAAAATAATTGACTGAGTGTTCAGCTTCATGCAAGTGCGCATTTGGTGGACCAGCTTTTGGAGGACGAGTACCTTGGCGTTGCGCTCAATCACTGGTTCAAATAGAGGAATATCGTTTATCTTTGGGCCGTCGGCACCGACTATCCTCTAGGGAGCATGTAATCGCTTATTGTACTAGTTCGAATGCGGAGGGAAGATTCAAAGTCAACGGTATCTTATTACTATCGTGTCAGAGAGTTTGGTGCAGATCGTGAAGTGAAGCAGTGCCTTGGATTACTACTGTCGGGGACCCATTTTTTCAATTGGCTCAGAGAGCAAAACCTCTTGAGGAAAAAATGACCACCGCAGGGGTCGAACCTGCAATCTCCTGATCGCCGACTGTTATCGTAGTCAGACGCGATGCCATTTCGCCAGGCGGCCTTGTAATCTCGCCCACTGTGTCTATATATCTATAAAATATTCATCGTAACGATGTTGCAGCCCCGAGTCAGCCATAGCCATAGCCTATAGGTAAAGCAACAGTCAGACCAGAAGGTCGCTCAAGAATGTACATGAGACCACCTTCCGTTGTTAAGACCCCTGTTCGCAGAGGCGACAGAGTGGAAAAGCAGTCGGGTGGGTGATCTAAGGTAGATGCCAATAAAGTACGGCTTCCAGATGTGTGGTGCAGGTCTAGAAGGGGCAACTCGGGGCTGCTTCTACCATAGGGGAACATAGAAGCACACACCAGATATCAGCGTCACAGCGATGGTCCTGGTATCTTATCGAGCAAGTGAAAGAGTCAACACGACTGTTCGACCCGGAACAGGGGAAGAAACAGACATTATGACATGTCTGGGGCCGTATCTTTAAACTTCTGTTGAAGGTCTAAGTCACAGTAGATGCGGGTCGTCTAGTAATCACCTAGAAATTTTGCTGTGCAAAGCAAAGAGATGATGTGTATTTACATAACAACAGGCTCGCTTGTCTCGTTTAGCTGGTAGCACTACAAGTGCACTAATGATGCTGTAAGAATGCGGTATAGGTTGCAGCGCCGGTGATGGTAAAGAAGGTGAGTACCCTTTTGGGAAATACCGGCGCCGGGTGTGGGAAATTCAAGGCTCATTCCCTCGCTGGTCTGACAGTGACAGCAAGCCTTTTGGTTGTTGGCCGATATGGTTCTTTAAGCGCTGAGTACACCCAAGGCACCCCTCTCGCACTCATCGGTCGAGATGTCAGATATTCAACCCATGATCGCGCCGCAGGAAGACGGGTCAGGTAGTGTCCCAGAAACTTCGCACGAACCACCACAGCCGACGCCTATCACAGACCAAGAGGTGGGAGAGTACCGCGAGCAGGACCGTTTCCTACCGGTTCGCACTACTATTCAATCTAGCTTATCTGGCTTGCTTACCTGTCAACAGATTGCAAATGTTTCCCGTATCATGAAGCAGTCTGTTCCGCACACCGCTAAAATCGCAAAGGATGCCAAGGAATGTGTGCAGGAGTGCGTTTCAGAGTTCATAAGTTTCATTACCTCTGAAGCCGCTGAAAAATGTCAAATGGAGAAGCGGAAAACAATCGGAGGGGAGGATATCTTGTACGCCATGGTGTCTCTAGGGTTTGAAAACTATGCAGAAACATTAAAGATTCATCTGGCAAAACTGAGACAGGTGCGTATTTCCTGCGACATATGCCGTCCATGTTGTGCTGAAACTTGTATCAGCACCAAGCGGGATCCACGTCAAACCCGCGACAAGAACATCGAGATGATTGATTGCTACTTTCTATTACGAATAATATTCTCTAGAGGACTGTACCAATTTCTTTTGCGATGCTCTGACATCCGATATTCGATCCTCGCCTTGCTTCTTTGTCCCCTTTTCGTGGCATGTTGCGACTGTCAAAACACATTCCTCCCTTATTGCAGAAGGAACAACCGTGTTCTTTCGTCTAGGGGAGACCATAGTAGTTTAAGTTCAGCATTGGCCATGTTCTCGTTCTCGTAGCTTTTGTCAGTATATGTACGATTGTAGCTGCAGTTCTCTTTCTGAGTAGCGTTGCGTTCATGATATCTTCTTGACTCTCGAGACACATTCCTTGAGTCTCAAGCGTTGAGAACATGACTTCGTGTCAAAAATTGATGGTCCTTCCATGGGTGGGGTTTGCAGTCTCATATTTGCAGTCCTGAGTAGGTAGAAGACATGAGTTTGAACATCCATTTGACTTGCGTATATTCGTTCAAGATTTAATAAACTTGGGAACCTTTCGGCAAATCCCGTGTGAAACTCCGACAAACTATCCTCAACCGCACAAACCAGCGGCAACGACGACAACGACAGCCTCAAGCAATCCCTCCATGAGTGTAAGTTGCTGTTCTTTTGTTCCCGAACCTTTGATCAGGAATCGTGCCGCTTCTGAGATTTTCTGGATGAGTATGGGTCGAGGTTGAGATGGATGGAGGCAATACAAGTCTGATGAAGTCGATGCCTGGATGGAATATCCAGATTATTCCAGGCGCACAACGATTGATCTTCGTTTCCCGGGGGCTCGATAAGTCAAATGCTAATATTGTTGTTCGTGTAGGACTCAACCTTCAAGCGTTTCGTCGAGGTTGGACGAGGTAGGACCATTATAAACTCGTGTCTCACTGAATGAACTAAAGGTCAACAGTGGTCCTTCTCAAGTCCGGTCCGTGTGCAGGCAAGATTGCCGTTATCGCTGAGATCATAGATCACAACAGGGTGCGTAGAGTACGATATGCCAGAAACCTCTACATACTCAATTTGCTTCTGTCATTCTAATGAATAGGCCATTATTGACGGCCCGACCACCGACGTGCCGCGCCAATCCTTCCCCTACCGCCACCTCACCCTCACCCCACTTACTCTAACAAAACTTCCTCGCGGCGCAGGGTCTGGTGTCATTCGGAAGCAAGTGGACAAGGAGGGTCTCGTTGCTAAGTGGGAGTCCTCGTCATGGGCCAAGAAGCGTGCTGCCATGGAGAAGAGACGATCACTGAATGACTTCGAACGGTTTAGCGTCATGGTTACAAAGAAGCAGCGGAGAGATGTAGTCAGGAAGAGCCTGTCGAAGGCTGCCAAGGCATAGAGGAAGCTCTCACTGTACGGATACAAAATACTGGACATCTTGGTAGGATGTCGCGTCGCTGCATGAACCACGCTTCTCTTGCATCTCTACTTATGCCTACCATGATATACACATGCTTCATGCCCAGTCATCAGATCTGATATTAATCATCTAGTCGACTTGTCTCTCCTGGTCTTGAATGAGGCCCCTTCTTGCTCTTTCGACCGTTGCTTCTGCCTCTACCTCTTCTAAAACAGCCGTTGCCCAACCATAGAACCCGTCCTTGTCAAAGGCTTCTCTAAGACGGGTTTCTGCTTCTTGCCAGTTCCATTCTACACCAGACCCAGGGACGGGAATTTTCGTCTGTGGGAAAACATCGCCACCATCTTGATCAGGTACAGCAGGTCGATATATTCGGTAAGAGAGGACAGGTAATTTTGTGAGCACCGTATGGCGCATACGTTCCGCAAACTCGTCGATCTGTAGGGAAGAAGTCACCTGAGTTTCAGGGAAGAAACACCATGGGATGCAAAGACGTACGTCACGAGCCCTAAGAGCTTTCATTACTCCCCAAACAGAAGCTGTCGCACCCAGTGTAACAAGAGCTGTAGCTATGCCGAATGCCTTGAAGGTGTATAAAGGAGCGTTAAAGAATTGGTCATCAGTGTCTTTGTTCGAGACGGGCCCTTTCAGGGGTGGCGGATGGGCCAAAATAGGGTTTGTTTGTATGGTAGGATGGGGTCGTATCGGAGGAGAGTGAGAACGCAGAGGCATTACGGACGGTCCACGTCTCCGAGGAGGTGGAGCAGCTTCCTGAAGGTTATGTGCGATGGTACTGCGCTTATAACGTCGCAACATGACAATTGGCGCTACAAGGGCCACAGAGGAAACGGCCAGCTGCAGTACATATGAATGCTACGAATCCATGCAATTGATTTATAACTATGTATCAAAGGCTACTCACCAATGTCACTGGAACCCACTGGGGAACTTTCTGGTTAGTTCCGAGGATACTAATACGTAGACCGGCGGATGCGTCTTCCTTTGCATCGTCGGAAGACGTCGTCATTCGCGTCATTTGCGATGGTAGTGTGTAGTGAAGGCAGGTCGAAGACTGTAAAAGCAAGATCACGTGGTAACATCGGGAATGCAGTTGTGCACTCATTTACATATGATCTATAACGGATCTACTTGTTCCAACGTCTAACTAGGTCCAACTCCTTCGCATTCGACCCGTTCATTTGTCTACGCAATAGGTTCATCACGACAGGCCGCACTCAATCACATGTATGTTTTCGCTGGGGTTCATATCATCTAAGCACTCGTTTTATTCGTCATTTCACAGTATCCGCTATCGTGTCGTCTTTGGCTGGTCTCATCGTCGATACGCCATGTCTGATCCTCGATTTGCGCGGTTAAAGACTGACCCTCGTTTCCGACGACCAAAGAAACACCATTCAAAAGTTGTCGTTGATGAGCGTTTCAAAGGAATTTTTGAAGAAGACAGAACGGGGAAGAAGAAGTCGAAACAAAGCGGCAAAAGACATGAAAAACCGGGTGCGCTAAAAGCTTTATCTCCTTTTTTTGCTCCTCACTTCTCCATTGTGATTACAGGCAAGGTGGATAAATTCGGTCGTCAAATTTCGGATACTCATGATAAAGACAACCTCAGGCGGTTTTATCGGTTAGAAAATGAAAATGAGGAGGCAGATCCTCCGACCTCCTCTTTGTTACCTGACTACGCTCGTGGTGGAGTTCTCATGGAGTCCTCCGAATCAGAGGCGGAAAGCCAGGGGACAGCAAATTCTGATGATGAGAGTGACGCCGGTGGATTTGTCACATTAGGCCGAGACCTCAATGAAGAAGACGAAATCGACCTTGATGAGAGCACCTTTGCCGATCTGGACGCACAAGCGGCTGCATATGCGAGGACAGTCCCGACCGAAGACGACAGTAGAGAAGCTACGGATAAGACCAGAAGGCTGGCCGTTGTTAATCTTGATTGGGACCATGTCCGGGCAGCGCATCTTTACAAAATATTCTCGTCATTACTCTCCCCAGCTGCGCCTACTACCCTTCAACCAATGCAACCCGAGGACAAGAAATCTGTCAAGAATGGGAAGAGCTTAAAGATGGCTGTCGCAAAAGGGAAGGTGTTGAGCGTCCGTGTATATCCAAGTGAGTTCGGAAAGCAACGGATTGCAAGGGAGGAGACGGAGGGCCCGCCTACGGAGCTTTTCAAGCAGAAGAAAATCGAAACTGAAGAGGACGTCAATGAACAGACGATTTACGAAACCGGAGGCGGAGCAGACTACGATGAAGATGCTCTGCGAAATTATCAACTGGAGAGA